ATGTCATAAGACTTTGTGTGTTTTCGGATTTCCACGTCCTGTTTCTAAACGGACATTTATATGTGAACCAATAAAAGTTGATAATGATGAAGAGAAGCAACGTTGTAAAAAAATAAAAGAAATTCTTACTGAAATGAATGCAATCATGAACACATTAGAAAAAGAGAAAATGTTGTCATGGTCCGATTTTGATAATCTTCTAAGAAAGTATAATTGGACCTATGACGATTACGAATATGCTCTTCGAGTTGTTCATACTAGAACAATAATAATTCATAAACGAGAACCGAATGCACGATGGGTTAATCAATATAATGAAGAATTGTTGAGAGCATGGGATGCTAATATGGATATTCAATTCATACTTGATCCATATGCATGTGCAAAATATCTTATGTCATATACAACGAAACCAGAACGAGAAATGAGTTTATTACTTGAAGCAACTCATAAAGAATGTCGTGAAGGAAATATGGCAGTACGTGAAGAAATGAAAAAATTAACAGGTACATTTTTTAATCATCGACAAGTTAGTGTACAGGAAGCTATTTATCGTGCTACTAAAATGCCACTTACATATTCAAGTCGAGGTTTTGTTTTTGTACCATCACATTCAAATAGTTGTAAATTTTTAAAGTCACCTAATATATTAAAACAAATGGATCCAGAAGACGATAATATATATATGTCCAATTTAGCCGACAAGTATTTTGATAGACCAGCAGATCCAGAATTTGATATATGTATGGCGGATTTTGCATCTGAATATGAAATACTATCAATAAATAAAAACATTAAAAATCCTAAAACACCAATTAAACGATTACAAACACTTAATTTTGCTATTAAAAAACGTTGTAATCGTAATGCTATTATTCGTTATCCATATTTCAATAGAGAAACAGATAGAGAAAATTATTTTGAAAATCTTCTTTCTCTCTATTTACCAATAAGAAGTCGAAATGAATTGAAAAAACCTTATGAATTGTTTTATGAAACAGGTGAAACATTTGATAATCGACAACAATGTATGAGAAAAGTAAAAGAAATTGTTCATGAAAATCGAAAAAAATATGAAGCCTATGTCAAAGAAACAGGTGAAACAGAATCATTATTCAATGAATTGTCATTGAATATGAAAGACAATGAATGGGCTGAAATTGTTGCTAATAAAGAAAAACGTAGTACATGGTCAAGAGAAATTGAACAAGAAGATAATCCTGATTTTAATATTATACATAAAAGCAAAAATAAAAATACGTTCATTGATTTAAAACAAACGTATACTACTACAGATGAAATGAGACCGTTGTTAGAATCCATGAACAATGAGCAACAAGAAGTATTTTATCATGTTAGAGAATGGTGTACAAAACGTTTGCATAATCCTGATGTCGAACCTCTTCGTTTATTCATTACAGGAGGAGCAGGTACAGGTAAAAGTCATCTTTTGAAATGTCTTCATTACGAAGCAACAAAAATTTTTTCTCGTAAAAAACACTTAGAATCAGATGAAAATATTGACGAGATTCATACATTGATTACAGCTTTTACTGGTGCTGCAGCTGTCAATGTTGGTGGAGTAACTATTCATAGTGCATTCGGTATTGGTACTCAGTCTAATAGTTTAAACGATCATTTATCTTGTGATAAACTAAATAGCTATCGATGTAAATTACATTCCTTAAAACTATTATTTGTTGATGAGGTTTCTCTCATACAAGCCAAGCTTTGGGGTGCTATACATGCTCGTCTTACTCAAATTATGGGTATACATTCGAATACAGCTATTTTTGGTAATGTTGGAATAATTGCTATTGGTGACTTTTATCAATGTTCACCTGTTGCATCTTCAAGCATTTATTCTTCTTTACTTTGGTCTGATCATTTTGAGTACATCGAACTCAAAATCAATGAAAGACAAAAAACAAATAGTTCTTTTTCACAAATGTTAAATCGCATTCGAAAACTTAAAAAGAAGGAAGATATGAATAAAGAAGATCGTAACTCACTTGAAAAATGTCATCAACGCTATTTGCATAAGGAATATCATCCAGAATCATTACATTTATTTGCTAAAAATACTCAGGTGGATACACATAACGAAGAGATGATTGAAAAAATTTGTATCAATATTCGAACATTTTATGAAGTTGATAGCAATGATAAAGAGATAGAACAGAATGAATCTAAAAATACAAAAAAAATAAATAAACCACTACGACTTGCTAAAAATGCTCGGGTAATGCTAACTAAAAATATTTGTGTAAATGATGGATTAGCTAATGGTGTGACAGGTCGTATTGTAGAATTTGTAGAAAATAATAATGCACACGTTTCTCATATAATAATTAAATGTGATTCATCTAAAGTTGGACGACTTCATCGAGTTAGTTGTCCACATTGTCATGGATGTGATACAATATGTGTAATAAGAGAAAGTGACAGTATTGATCAACAAAATTTTGATGTACGATCAAAGAAAGCAATAAAACAATTTCCTTTACGTCTTAGTTGGGCAATGACTATACATAAAGCTCAAGGAATAACAGTTGATCAAGTTGTAATTAGTACAAAAGATTTTTTCGGTAGTGGGATGGGCTATACAGCATTGTCTCGTGTTCGAACACTAGAAGGTTTATTTCTTATTGACTTACATGTTGATAAATTTTATTGTAATGAAAATATTGATAGAATTCTTTCTCAAATGAAAGAGATGAAAAGAAAAACATCGATATTTCGACAT